AATCAGTCACTAATTCAACTGAATGTTGATGCGGAGCCGAAGTTTGTAGACGTACGTGAAGCTCTGTCTCTGTTGAAAGAAGGTACGACGGTCAAAACTTCTTACTATGTTCCGTTGTTGCAAGAATGCGTAGACAGAAAATTAGCTGCAGAAGCGGAAATTATCCATGGTCATATCGTAAAAACTGGAACTCATGAAGACCTATTTGTAATGACAAATCTTGTTAATGTTTATGCGAAATGTGGAGTCGTGGAAAAAGCTCGCAAAGTGTTTGATAATTTGCCTCGAAGAAATGTCGTTGCCTGGACTACTCTAGTGACTGGTTATGTTCAGAACTCGCAGCCTCTGCCTGCTCTTAAAGTATTCATCGAAATGTTGCAGGCTGGAGCTTATCCTACAAATTTTACACTCGGAATAGTGTTGAATGCTTGTTCTTCCCTGCAATCTATCGAATTGGGGAAGCAAGTTCATGCATATATTATCAAATATCACTTAGATTTTGATACTAGTATTGGCAACTCTCTTTCTAGCTTCTATTCTAAATTTGGGTGCTTGGAACTCGCTATCAGGGCCTTCCAGAAAATTAAGGAAAAGAATGTCATTTCATGGACTTCAGTTGTATCTGCCTGTGGTGATAATGGTCAAGCAGCTCGGAGTTTATGTTTCTTTACCAAGATGCTCTCAGAAGGCGTGGAGCCGAATGAATATACTCTCACCAGTGTCTTGAGCACTTGTTGTGTGATGCTAACATTGAGTCTAGGAGCACAAATTCATTCACTAAGCATTAAGCTTGGTTATGGTTCAAGCATACCTATAAAAAATTCTGTCATGTACTTGTACCTGAAATGTGGATGGCTTATTGAGGCTCAGAAATTGTTCGAAGGTATGGAGACCCTCAATTTGATTACATGGAATTCAATGATTGCAGGGCATGCAAAAATGATGGATGCTGCTGAAGATGATCTTGCAGCTCACAAGAGTGGATCCACAGCACTTAATATGTTCCAGAAATTACATCACTCGGGTATAAAGCCCGATCTGTTCACTTTCTCCAGTGTTTTAAGCGTTTGTAGTAGACTAGTAGCCTTAGAACAAGGGGAACAAACTCATGCTCAGATCATCAAGAGTGGTGTTTTGGCAGATATTGTTGTGGGAACTGCATTGATTAGTATGTATAACAAATGTGGAAGTATTTCTGAGGCAAGAAAAGCTTTCTTGGAGATGCCTTCAAGAACTCTGATATCATGGACTTCGATGATTACAGGATTTGCACGACACGGTTTGTCTCAACAAGCACTTCAGCTCTTTGAAGATATGAGACTGGCTGGAGTTAAACCAAACCAGATCACTTTTGTAGGTGTTCTATCAGCTTGTAGCCATGCTGGTTTGGTGGATGAAGCACTGTATTACTTTGAAGTAATGCAGAAGCAGTGCAGGATTGAGCCTGTAATGGACCATTTTGCATGCATGATTGACATGTATATGAGGTTGGGTCGGGTGGAAGAAGCTTTTGATGTAGTCAAGAAGATGAACTTTGAGCCTAATGAAATTATATGGTCCATGTTAATTGCAGGATGTCGAAGTCATGGGAACTCCGAATTGGGGTTTTATGCTGCTGAGCAGTTACTCAAACTCAGGCCGAAAGACACCGAGTCCTACATCTCTCTGCTAAATATGTACATCTCTGCAGGGAGATGGAAGGATGTTTCCACAGTGAGAAAATTAATGAAAGAAGAAAAGGTTGGAAAGTTGAAGGACTGGAGCTGGATTAGCATCAAAGAAAAAGTTTATTCATTTAAACCCAATGACAAATCACACTGTCAAACTGCAGAGATGTACAAGCTGTTGGAGACTTTACTCGACGAAGTAAAACCTCTTGGTTACGAACCTGTTCAATATATGGAGGTAATCGAAGAGGAGAAAGGCGATGAAACAGTGTTCTCGTCCACCATTTATCACAGCGAGAAGTTAGCCGTTGCTTTTGGTTTGTTGAACCTGCCAAAAGCCACCCAGATTCGGGTTGTCAAGAACATCACCATGTGTAGGGACTGCCATAATTTTATCCGATTCGTATCATTATTGACAGGCAGGGAAATCGTCATCCGAGATAGCAAACAGCTTCACAAGTTTTCGAACGGATACTGTTCTTGTGGAGGTTTTGGAGATCTTCTTTAGTGTCCTTGGTGAAGAGCAGGGTAAGACACGAACTTAAATTTTGTACAAACCTAGCGACATTGAGCTGTCTAAATATTCATATGAAGCTGATTTCTGTTGAGCTTCAGGCAAATACCAGGACAATTTAATGTCAACACCATTGTTCCTTCTCTGTATAGCGAAAGAATGACAAGAGGTAGGTCAGCTAATTTGCTAAGAGATTTTAACAAAACTAGATGATGGTAGTATATACAGGTACTCTTATACAAATTTCCAGCCTTAGATGATGCCGTTTCCAGCCTTGATGCACACAAAATCAGCGTCTTTTAGTCTTGTTCTTGGCGGTTCTTGATTTGCTGGTGTCAATTGAAGGTTTCAATATCTCAAACAGTGTAATGAGATAATTTTGGACGGGAACCGGGAGAAAATGTGGTACATGTTATGAACCACAAATCTCTTCAATAGTATGATATTGTCCACTTTGAGCATAAGCCCACATGACTTTGCTTTTAGTTTTTAGTTTTCCCAAAAGGCCTTGTAGTAATGGAAATATATTCCTTACTTATAAATTCATAATCATCTCTTTAATTAGCCGATGCGGAACTCCCCACCAACAATCCTCAACTGTATACTCGCTGATGTCAATTGACATTCGACAACTATACGCAATGTGAAAAATCTACTATGACCCATCTTAAGGTACTCACTGGTTTCCCCAGGTGATTTCTGAATGTCCACCATCAAGAACGTGGGAGCAACTTTGAAATTCTACAGGAAAATATTTCAGATCAAGGTCGAAGAACAGGAAATGGAAATGGAAACATAATTGCATAATAACTGAGAAATAAGAAGTCTTTGCTCGCTGATGGGCCTTCTACTCTCATCTGGCATTCATCAGAAGCTTAGTTAAGATTATAATACAGTGGGGCCTGCCTTATTCCTAGAGGGTGGATAGCCAGATAGAATGACAAGATTTCAGGTGAGAACTTCAAAATGATTACCTTGTAATTGCTAATGTGTTGTCTTGAAACCCATTGATTTAGCTACAGCTTCCATAGTTGATAATAAAACCTGTGGGCTTTTGGCAGGCAAAGCGTGTCGGGTGCTTCGTCGTATCCTGCCGTAATCCAAAGAAATTTAACCTTCAAGACGAGGTACACATACTAAACTTTCTTATACCACCATTTTAAAATCGAAGCATGATATAGTCCGTCTAAGATAAAGGATTATATATAGTTAATGATGAGTTATGATCATGTTAGTTAGCGAAAAGTCTTTAATATGATAGGTAAATTGGCTTTCTCTAACCTTCAAATCTTGACAAGGTACGCATGCTAAACTTTCTTATACCAACATATTTTTAAATGATCTAAGCATGATATAGTCAGAGATAATGGTTATATATGATTAATGATGAGTTATGATCATGTTAGTAAGTGAGACTCTTTAATATGATAGGTAAATTGGCTCGCTCTAATTCTATGTTAAATCACCATTAATGAGCATTATGGTAAGTTAATCTAATATTAATTCTTGAAAACTTGTGGGATAACGCAATACTTCTAACTAAAATTGATGTTTGAAAAGTTGACGAGCAAGAACGAAAAAATGTTTCGAAAAACACTTTATTTTCCCTTTCTATAGGTGTTCCATACTTCCTCACCATACTTTTGCTTAGTTTACGATCCTTTGAAAAAAATTTAATGTAGTTATAGATTTTATGATTTTAGGGGATTTTTTTTAATTCTACCTTAATTGGAGAGAGAAACAAAACATTGCTTATAAATTGTGAAAATCTCTGTCAGCAGCCTTGCACGATTTTATAGAAATTTGACTGGAGTTCTGTAAGCTCGGGAGGAAAACAAAAGTAAGTGCTACTTTTGGAAGAAGGGAATAAAAGTGGGGAACTTCTAAAACCACTTTTCGTTATTTAATATATTCCCACAAAAGTTTTGAGATGCTTGTAAAAGAGCTTAAAACATAAGCTAATGTTCTATTTTTCTATCAAAATAATACTTTTTTAATCAACTTACTTTACCATGAAGGAAAAGTCTACTTATTTTAAATCACAAAAGTATAGAACTAAATCAAATATAAAGACAAGACGAACACGACTCCCTTCAATAGTATAATATTGTCTATTTTGAGCATATGCTTTCATGACTCCATGACTTTGCTTTGGACTTCTCCAAAAGACCTTATACTAATGGAGAGAGTATTCTTTGTTTATAAACCTATGATCATTCCTTAAATTAGTCGATGTGAGCGATGATGAAAGTCTCACATCGGCTAATTTAGGGAATGATCATGAGTTTATAATCCCACATCGGCTAATTTTGGAATGATCATGAGTTTATAAATAAAGAATACTCTCTCCATTGGTACGAGACTTTTTGGGGAAACCTAAAGCAAAGCCATGAGAGCTTATGCTAAAAGTGGAGAATATCAATCATTGTAACATCGGCTAATTTAGGGAATGATCATGAGTTTATAAACAAAAAATACTCTCTCCATTGGTATGAGTTTATAAACAAAGAATACTCTCTCCATTGGTACGAGACTTTTTGGGGAAGCTTAAAGCAAAGCTATGAAAGCTTATGCTTAAAGTGGAGAATATCAACCATTGTGGAGAGTTGTGTGTTCGTCAAACCGATAAAACTTTAACCTTTTAAAACTTTTGAGAATCGATCCTAATTTAGAAGTAATAGGAGGGCTAGAATAAAATTGCTCAAATCTATCCATTAAAATTCTTTTTTTTTTTACTATTATCTTAAACAAAATAATAATAATAAAACGTGTTTATCCTCTTCATAATCCCTATATATATGTATGTATATATGGAACAAATTAGTTAATATTGTAGTTAAAAAAAAAAAAAAAAAAAAATCCCATATCGGAGAAGACAATCACCGGCGGAAACAAAAGGCAATGTTTCTAAGAAGAGTCACCGTCGGTGCTACGAAACTCAATGTTGCTCCGGCGAATGGGCGGTTCCTCCTCCGTCACATGGTTGTTTTTCTCTCTCCTCACCACCAGTTTCATAATTTCTATGATTTTTCTCTCTTGATGTCTAAATTTTCCATCGGTTTTCTGGTCGCAGTCTTCTCGGTACGGGTCCACGGCGGAGGAAAGAGAGGCTCGAGCTACTGTGAGCATTCCATTTCTATTATTATTATTATTTAAATACATTTATTTAATCCCAAAATTATTAATATTAATTTATTCAATTATAAATATAACTCGTAAAAATATTTATATTTTTTTAGTTAAAAATATTTTGACATTGTGTTTATTTTGTTTGTAATATAATTTCATTTATTTGTAGAAAAAAAGTATATTATTTAAGCGGAAAATTGTGAAAACGAACCCATGATGGGGACTTGCAGCACCCTTTGATATCACAATCAAGTTATTTAAAAGTTATTTTATTTTATTTTTATTTTTATGTTTTCTATTTTTTAAAAAACAGAAATTATTGATTTTTTATTTTTTGAAAATAGAAGGTAACTATTAGATGTTTTTTTTTAATTATTTTTTGACCTTTTGTAATAAAAAATCAATTTTTTATTTGATGTATTAATTACTATAAATAATTATATTTTTTGTTTTAAAAAAGACATTTATTTAGATATGTTTAGCGTATCAAAATTTTATATAATAAATAATATTTCGATTTAATTTTTATAATTACTCAACTTTATTATATTAATTATTTTTAGATAATTAATTAGGATTAATTAGTTTATTTTTATTAAGTCAAATTATTAGAACAATTTTATCCCTTAGATTTAATCTTCTCCATTAATAAATATATTATGAATCATATGTCATAATTTTAGCGTATTTTTAATTTATTTAACAATCTATCTTAATAACTATCTTCAAATAAATGAATATAATAAATTATTATAAACTTTTAATGGTAAATAATTAGTACTAGAAAATTAACTATATAAATAGAAAGAAAACATTTTTTTTCATAGTTTCATGTTAGCTAAAGATCACACAAATACAATTACATGTTAAAATTAACACAACTGAATGCCCATCAAAATATATCTTTAACCATAAAAGAATTAAGTAAATACATGATTATTTATTTATTATATATAATTTAATTAATTATAAATGTAATGAGGATCAATTAATTTTGGTTTCAGTGGATTAAGCAGCTGAACGACCCCATGGAGGTCGTTGCTCCGGAAGTGGTAGACATCATTGAGCTTGAGAAAGCTCGTCAATTCAAGGTTTTTTTCTTTTTTCTTTTTTTTGAAATGCTTCATTGAATTGATTTGAGCTTAGCTTCGTGGTTAATTCTTGTGCAATTCATTTATAAATGTGAAGGGTCTTGAAGTTATAGCGTCAGAGAATTTCTGCTCAAGAGCAGTGATGGAAGCAATTGGTTCGATTATGACCAATTCATCAAGTGATGGATATCCCGGTGCCAGATACAGTGGAGGAACTGAGTCTGTCAATCATTCTATCTCAATTCCACGCTACAATTTCCTTTATTCTATTCCTGTTTTAATTAATGATAAACCCCAAATGGATTTAGGTACTTGGACATCATTGAAAACTGGTGCATGGAACGTGCTCTAGAAGTTTTTCGTTTGGACCCTGCAAAATGGGGAGGTATCATCATCATCATCATTATCTTCTTCTTCGTTTTAGTACTACAATCGGGAGCAAGCTTAACAAGTGTTGTTGTCCAATGGTTATGATCAAATTTTCTTTCAAATTCTGTCTATTGACGTATATTTCTTTTCTCGAGTTTCTTGTGATTCAGGTTTATATTTGCGAACATTTTCAGAACTAGTATGAAGTTGACTAACTGAGCATGCTCTATTGTTTTTAGTTAACGTGCAGACTCTGACTGGATCCATAGCTAACTTTCAGACATATACTGGATTATTAAAACCTCATGACAGGATAATGTCTCTTGATTTACCACATGGTGGACATCTTTCTCATGGTTATCAGGTGCTTAATTTTCAAATCTAATACGTATTAGTTTTTGGTTAAATCCCAAATTTGATTTTAAAAGATAGAATTTTGACCGTATAGTTCTTGTGATGTCCCACATCGTTTGAGGAGGAGAACAAAACACCTTTATATAAGGGTGTGGAAATCTCTCCCTAGCAGATGCGTAATGGAGAAGCCTACAAGGGAAAACCCAAAAACCTTGAGGAAAAGTCTGGAAGGGAAAATCCAAAGAGGATAGTATCTAGATGAGCACTAGTTCCGTTGTGTAACTCTAAAAAACGTGTTTTAAAAACATTGAGGGAAAGCTCAAAGAGGAAAATATCTGGTAGCGGTGGGGTTGAGCCGTTACAGTTCTTCTTTCATTGAAAACATGAATTTGTTAGTGGAGACTATTTATGAAGTTGTATCAAACCATATGGATCAAATTCTATATTTCTAGCTCTCTCCAAACCAAAAGGATTAACTTTATAATTTAATCACTAGCTGCTTTGGGTGATTTCATATGGTCATGTGAACTTTTAAAACGTGTGTATTTATATATGTTTCTTTGAACTTTTGCAGACGGCTACCAAGAAAGTTTCTGCTGTTTCATTATTCTTCGAGACAATGCATTATAGGTTGGATGAGAAAACTGGTTACATTGACTATGATGGGGTCAGGAAATGCTTCTGTACTATTTGAACAAATTGTAAATTGATATTCCGTTGATTTATCTTGAAACTGCAATCCAAATAATCAAAACTCATACGCAGATGGAGAGAAGTGCATCTTTGTTTCGACCAAAACTCATTATTGCTGGTGCAAGTGCCTATGCTCGACTGTTTGATTATGCACGAATTCGAAAGGTTTCTTCTTCCTTTACATGCCTATAGATTACAACATAGAATATCTCCATCTGGGTTTTACTTTTACACTTGTAACATAACATTAGATTTTGATTGTGGTTGAATATTGTGATAGATCTGTGACGAACATAAGGCAATCATGATGGCAGACATGGCACATCTTGCTGGTTTAGTTGCAGCCGACGTTATTCCATCTCCTTTTGAGTATGCTGATATTGTGACAACAACCACAAATAAATCCTTACGTGGACCACGAGGAGCTATGATTTTCTTCCGAAAGGGCGTTAAAGAGATCAACAAAAAAGGAGAGGAAGTAAGTGAGATCTTATGCGTCTTGTGTTGTATCATATTCGTGATTCTGAGGATGTAAATATAAGTTCAAAGGGAAAGTACTTTGTTGTCTAATATTTTTATTACAATCTACCACAGGTGCTCTATGACTATGAAGACAAAATTAATAACGCTGTCTTTCCTGGTGTTCAAGGTGCCTCACACAACCAAAAACTAGCCGGTCTGGCGATTTCACTAAAACAGGTCAAGACTATCTCGGCAACAAAAATAAATTTGGTGTTATCTTGGTGAAAGTTGAGTTCAAATGTTAGATTTAGCTATTGTTTTCTTAAGCTTTATTTCTCTTCTTTACCATGTTGCAATAGGCAATGACTCCGGAATACAAAGCCTACCAACAGCAGGTTCTCAGGAATTCTTCAAAACTTGCTCAGGTATACCGAGCAAATTTCTGACTTCTTTCACAAATTACTCCAAGTTTTTCTTACCGTTTTGAATATTTCATTCCTCAACTTTGTTTGTTGCATAAATCAGTGTAGTTTACTGTGTCAAATTCATTGTTTATGCAGTGTTTGATTGAGAAGGGGTATGAACTTGTATCTGGTGGAACTGATAATCATTTAGTCCTTATAGATTTGAAAAATAAGGTAAAGGGTAACTTCCTGTTCACTGTTATAACACTATAATACTTCTTGTCTAGATATTTTTGTTTATGTTGTGATGACAAATTAACTGATTTTAAAGGTCCATTGCTAACAATCATCCCGAGTTATTTTCAAGGTCTTGCTCATCACAAAATTGAAACCTCGAGGATTTATCAAACGTTTTTTGAAGTTCAATAACTAAATAACACTAAACTTGTAATTTGACGTATTTTCAAACTTATGATATAAATGTTATCATTGACTTGATTTGGCAGGGTATTGATGGGTCAAGAGTTGAGAAGGTTTTGGAATGGGTTCGTATTGCATCTAACAAGAACACAGTTCCAGGGGATGTATCTGCCGTGATTCCTGGTGGCATCCGCTTGGGTATGGCCTTGTTTTTGAAATTTTCTAGTACGGCTACCTCTATTCTTTGTTTGTGGGTTCATGCTCCGATTGTTGGTCTTGTTTGAGGGCTCCTTAAGCTTCAAGGGAGGCCCTATAGTGTAATTTGTTCAAGGGGAGGATTGTTGGGATGGAGTCTCACGTTGGCTAACTTAGGGAATGATCATGGGTTTATAAGCAAGGAATAGTATCTTCGTTGGTATGAGGCCTTATGGGGAAGCCCAAAGCAAAATCAAGAGAGCTTATGTTCAAAGTAGACAATATCATACCATTGTGGAGATCCGTGATTCCTAACAAGTCTAATATCTAAATTTGTGTATATAGGAACTCCTGCTTTGACATCGAGAGGCTTACTCGAAGCAGATTTTGCTCAAGTAGCTGAATTTTTTGATGAAGGTTTGAAGTTGGCCTTGAAGATTAAGGCTGCTGAACCTAAAGGTTGGTTCTCTAACATAATATCGAACTTCTATGTTTTAGAATCCTTTGACATACTCATTCTCCGTTTTCAAATATTATAAACACAGGCGCTAAGTTTAAGGATTTCGAGAAAACCATGAAATCAAATAAAGAATTTCAATCTGAAATTTCAAAGCTCCGACGCGAGGTTGAGGAGTTTGCCATGCAGTTCCCAACAATAGGCTGTGATAAAGAGACAATGAAATATTGAGACGGAATAACGGAGTCGGGTTAGAACATCTCCTCCCTAACTCGTTGAACATTTCAAACCCCTTTTATAATCACTTAAAAAGTCATTTTTAAATTGCTTCACAATATGTTAAGAAATAGAAATAGAAAATAGAACTGGAAAAGTGTATTATTATAATTGATATTGATATCTTTTAAATAGGATACAAGAAGTACAAATGAGAAAAATATAAAATAATTAAATACTGAGAATAAAATAAAATATACTGTAAATCAAATCATAAATAAAAGATATAATATCGAAGATATATTCCATAACTAAATATATTCTTCAATATCTCAACACAATACCGTTAGTTACTCAAAGTCTAGTTCGGTAAAGTATTCCATTTGATGACCATCTGATTTTTAGTTTTGGGCATGTTTTGCAGATATCTTCATTGTTAAGGTGGCTGGCTCCGACCCTCGAGCAAATATCCTTTTAAAATGATGCCCATCGATCCATAGATTTATATGTTTTCACTTAATTGATGTGTCTTTTTTCGTTTGAAGCTTCCTAAATAAATGTTCATCTTTTTACACTCTTGATATTAAAAACAACCTATAACCAAAATAATACTTGAGATAGAATTATTTTCTATGAATATATATTAATAAAGAAAATGGAAGAGTTTTGTGTATGAACTAAATGAGTTTTTTCTTTTTGAACAATGTCTCTCTCTACTAAAACGACTCTAAAAAATTCTACAAAGAAAGAAGATCTCGAGAACCACTTCACTTACCCTTTCTATAGTTGTTCTTCCCTTCGTTCTTCACTGGAGTTGAAAGCAATCGTATTCATAATTTGAGCCAACATATAATTATATATACGAGCATGAAATAAAACGATAAGAAGCAAATTAATGTATACATTTACATAGTTTTAAGTGGGTAATAACTTTTCTAAAAAGTTAGAAAAAGATACATAAATATGAAATGGTTATATTCTGAGATTTTGATAAAAAAAATTTATATGCATGATTTTAATTTTAACTTTTGACCTGAAATAAACAGTAAAAAAGAATATTTTAATATTCTTTGGAGTTATAAATAACTATTTTTACACATAAATTAATTTCATCATTTAATTAATTAGAAAATATATTTTTGAAAAAAATTAAAATTGGAAGGATATTTTTTTAAGTAAAACTTTTCAAAATTTAAAGAAATAATTGGAACTTAATTAAAGTTAGTCCCTCTAATTTAACAATATATATATATATATATATATATATAAATTTCATGGGTTATTACAAAATTAATTTCTCTAAACTTTTAAGTTTTATTAGAAATATTTAATAATTTTTAAATTTCAAATTTATTTGAAAAAAATAAAAAGAAAAGAAAAGAATGGAAAGTTGGAAGTGAAAGTACGCTGACGGTAAAGCGAAGAAACAAAGACGTTTTTCCCTCCACAATTCATGAGTTCCCGCCATAGTTATGTAATTCCTTCTCCTTCCTTCCTTCCACGGCTTCCTTGCCTTCTGTTACCCTCACTGCTGCTCTCAACCTCGATTCCGGCTTAAGACAGCGACATTCTACCAGCTTTTCCTTAACGATAAGGTACTCTTTTTGCTTGCTTTCGGTGGAGTCATGATTTCTTCTTTTTTGAAAATCCTCGAATTGATTTTACGGACTTCTGTTCTTGGTTTGCGAGATCGATCAGTCGAGTTGGAGTGTGAAACTGTGGATTCTGAGTGTTGGATACTTAATTTATTCGTAACTAAGCGTATGGAATATGAATTTAGCCTGCTTCGTTTTCTTGATTTATCGATTTGTTGATTCTATGATATAGTATAGAGTGCTAGCGTGTCGTATCAGAAAAATCAGTCGCTAATCCAACTGAATGTTGATGCGGAGCCGAAGATTGTAGACTTGCGTGAAGCTCTGTCTCTGTTGAAAGAAGGTACGACGGTTAAAACTTCATACTATGTTTCGTTGTTGCTAGAATGCATAAACAGAAAATTAGCTGCAGAAGTGGAAATTATCCGTGGTCATGTCGTAAAAACTGGAACTCATGAAGACCTATTTGTAATGACGAATCTTGTTAATGTTTATGCGAAATGTGGGGTCATGGAACATGCTCGCTAAGTGTTTGATAATTTTCCTAGAACAAATGCCGTTGCATGGACTACTCTAGTGACTGGTTATGTTCAGAGTTCGCAGCCTCTGCCTGCCTTAAGTATTCTTCGAAATGTTGCAGGCTGGAGATTACCCTACAAATTTTACACTAGGAATAGTGTTGAATGCTTGTTCTTCCTTGCAATCTATCGAATTGAGGAAGCAAGTTCGGTTAGGAACCACGACTCTACATAATGGTATGATATTATCCATTTTGAACACAAACTCTCGTGGCTCTACTTTTGGTTTCTCCAAAAAGTCTCATACTAGTGGAGATGTATTTCTTACTTATAAATCCATGATCATCTCCTTAATTAGTTGATGTGAGACTTCCCACCTACAATCCTCAACAATCCTCACCTCGAACAAAGTATACCACAGAGCCTCCCCTGAGGCCTATGAAACCCTCAAATAGCCTCTCTTTAATTGAGGTTCGACTTCTTTCTCTGGAGCCCTCGAACAAAGTACATAGGGTGTACTTTGTACGACACTTTAGTTACTTTTTTACTACACCTTCAAGGCTCACAACTTCTTTATTGGACATTAGTATTTTATTGGCATGACTAAGTTAAGAACATGGCTTTGATACCATGTTAGAAACCACGACTTTCTACAATTGTATGATATTGTTCACTTTGAAGATGAACTCTCAAAAGGCCTCATATCAATGAAGATGTATTCCTTACTTATAAACTCATGTTCATCCCCTTTATTAGCCGACGTGGGACTTCCTTCCAACAATGGTACTAGTATTGGCAACTCTCTTTCTAGCTTCTATTCTAAATTCGGGTGCTTGGAATTTTCTGTAAGGGCCTTTCATAAAATTAAGGAAAAGCACGTCATTTCATGGACTTCAGGTCAAGCAGTTTGGAGTCCTAAGTTTTTTTTTTTTGTCGAGATGATCTCAGAAGGTGTTGAACCGAATGAATATACTCTCACAAGTGCCTTGAGCACTTGTTGCGTGATGCTAACATTGGATCTAGGAGCACAGATTCACTCACTAAGCATTGAGCTTGAGCTCATAAAGATATATTTGAGAGATATTGGAGTTTGATGTCTAGATCTGGTAAAGATATATTTGGGAGATATTTCGATGTGATAGATATATAGTAGATATTTGGTAAAGATGTGATAGAGATATATTTGTTAGATATCTATGGTTTAAATCTCTAGAGGCTATATTTAGTAAATTGAAACCGATTTGTTGTATTTTCTGCTCTCTCCAGTTATTTGTGTTCATCTTGATGGAGTGTGTGCTTTGTTGATCGATCCTAACAATTGGTATCAGAGCTAACAACAATTGGTATCGATCCTAACAACTGGTACAAGTAATGAATTGGTATCGATCCTAACAATTGGTATCAGAGCTAACAACAATTGGCATCTCTTCTTGTACAAGTAATGAATAAGCTTGCCTCACATTAGGTAATGGGACTGAGTTCCTATCTTTGCAACCATTCTTTACTTCTTGTGGTATTGAATTTCAGCGCACTTGTGTCTATACTCCACAACAAAATGGAGTCGTAGAACGTAAGCATCGCCATATCCTAAATGTAGCTAGGTCTCTTTTTTTTCAGTCACAGGTTCCACTTAATTTTTTGGGGAGAGTGCGTTTTAACGACTGTTTATCTTATAAATAGAACGCCATCACCAGTGTTATCTAACAAGACACCCTTTGAAGCACTCTACAAACGATCACCTACATTTCATCATCTTAAAGTTTTTGGTTGTAAATGTTATGCAACTATAGTACATCCTAAGCAAAAAATTGAACCTCGGGCAATTCCTTGTGTTTTCGTAGGATATCCTTGTGGTCATAAAGGTAACAAATTGTATGACATGCAATCTCACAAATTCTTTATCAGTCGTGATGTTAAATTTTGTGAAGATGATTTTCCTTTTTCATCAGCTTCACAAACTTCGACATTAGCTCCTTCGACTCCTGTTGTTCCACTTCATGATCCATCCTACTTAAGCACCCATCCTCCACCTTCCATTCCTCCTTCACCTCCTATCCCTTCACCTACTACTTCGTCGTCTCCTCCACCTTCTCCAGATTTGTCCACTGATTCCAATCCTATCCCGCCTGATACATCAGCTCCACTCCGACGTTCTATTCGCACTAAACAGCCTCCAGCTTGGCATAAGGATTATGAGATGTCTTCTGGAGCCAATCATTTAACCTCTAGCTCAAGTCCCGGCACTGGCACCAGGTATCCCCTTCATCATTACCTTTCATTCTCTCGTTTTTCTCCTACTCAACGTGCTTTTCTAGCTCTTATTACATCCCAGACAGAACCTAAAACCTATGACGAGGCAGTTGGCGACCCTTTATGGCAGCAGGCTATGAATGATGAAATTGCAGCTTTGGAACGTAATCATACATGGTCTCTCGTTCCTCTACCACCTGGTCATAAAGTTATTGGTTGTCGCTGGGTGTACAAAATTAAATACAACTCTGATGGTTCTGTTGAACGTTATAAAGCTCGACTTGTAGCAAAGGGATACACTCAGGTTGAAGGTATTGATTACACAGAAACATTTTCCCCTACAGCAAAACTTACTACACTTCGTTGCTTACTCACTGTTGCTGCTGCTCGAAAATGGTTCACCCATCAGTTGGATGTTCAAAATGCCTTTCTCCATGGTAATCTAGGCGAGGAAGTTTATATGTCTTTACCACCAGGTCTTCGCCGACAGGGGGAGAATACAGTATGTCGGCTCCATAAATCTCTTTATGGATTAAAACAGGCTTCTCGCAATTGGTTCTCCATATTTTCTACAACTATACAAAATGCAGGCTACACTCAGTCCAAAGCAGACTACTCTTTGTTTACCAAGAGTAAAGGTACTTCTTTCACTGCAGTTCTAATCTATGTTGATGATATTCTGTTGACAGGCAATGATCTCAAAGAAATGCAATATCTCAAGACTAGTTTACTCCAGAAATTTCTTATCAAAGATTTAGGAAATTTGAAATATTTTCTAGGCATTGAATTTTCTCGGTCTAGAAAAGGAATTTTTATGTCTCAAAGGAAGTATGCTCTAGACATCCTTCAAGACACAGGCCTTACACGAGCACGTCCAGACAAATTTCCTATGGAGCAAAATCTGAAACTTTCTTTAACTGAAGGAGAGAAATTGAACGATCCAAGTAAATACAGACGGTTGATTGGTAGATTAATATATTTGACTGTCACTAGGCCTGACATAGCTTATTCAGTTCGTATGCTTAGCCAATTTATGCATGAACCAAGAAAACCACATTGGGAGGCAGCTCTTCGAGTTCTGAGGTACATCAAAGGCACTCCTGGTCAAGGACTCCTACTGCCATCTGAAAACAATTTAAGATTACAAGCATATTGCGATTCTGACTGGGGTGGTTGTCGAACTTCCAGACGGTCTATTTCTGGATTCTGCATTTTCCTTGGGAATTCAATTATTTCTTGGAAGTCTAAAAAGCAGACTAATGTGTCCAGATCATCAGCAGAAGCCGAGTATCGAGCTATGGCAAATACTTGTTTAGAGTTAACTTGGTTAAGATACATTCTTCAAGACTTGAATGTTCCACTGTCCGAACCAGCATTATTATATTGTGATAATCAAGCAGCATTACATATACCAGCCAATCCAGTTTTTCACGAACGTACGAAACACATTGAAATAGATTGTCATATAATTCGAGAAAAGTTACAAGCTGGAATCATCAAACCATGTTATATTTCGACCAAAATGCAATTGGCAGATGTTTTTACTAAAGCTCTGGGAAGACAGCAATTTGACCTTTTGAAGGACAAGTTGGGTGTGATCGACATACACTCTCCAACTTGAGGGGAGTATTGAGAGGATATTTTGGAGATTTAGTTAAATATATTATTTTTTTCTATTTTTAGGTATTAGTTAATAGTTTGTATCTATTTAAACGTGGTAAACCTGAATGAAGATCATACACTTTTCCAGTTCTATTTTCTATTTCTATTTCTTAACAGTAATCATGATGGCTGATATGGCACACCTTGCTGGTTTAGTTGCAGCAGACGTTATTCCATCTCGTTTTGAATATGCTGATATTGTGACAACAACCACAAATAAGTCCTTAGGTGGACCACGAGGGGCTTTGATTTTCTATCGAAAGGGCGTTAAAGAGATCAACAAAAAAGGAGAGGAAGTAAGTGAGACGTAAAAATGTAGCTAAAAAAATAACCAAACTTTATTTGTCTTCTAATATTCGGGAGCCCTCGAACAAAGTACACCCTTTGTTCGACACTTTAGTCACTTTTGACTACACCTTCGAGGCTCACAATTCTTTGTTCGATATTTGAGGATTCTATTGACATAGCTAAGTTTAAGGCATGGCTCTAATATCATGTTAGGAATCACGACTCTCCACAATGGTATGATATTGTTCACTTTGAGCATAACCTCTCATGGATTTGCTTTAGGCTTCCCCAAAAGGCCTCGTACCAATGGAAATAGTATTCCTCACTTATAAACTCATGATCTTTCATTAAATTAACTAACATGGGACTCACTCCCAATAATCCTTGATAAGGTGCTCTATGACTACAAAGACAAAATCAATGGCACGGTCTTCCCTGGTTTTCAAGGTTCCCCACACAACCATAAAATTGCTGGTCCAGTGATTGCGCTAAAGCAGGTTGTTTATTTAATTCAAAACATCCTCGGTAGCAGAATTAAATTGTTTTCATTCATGTTATTTCTCTTCTTTACCATATTACAGTAGGCAACAACTCCGGAATACAAAGCCTACCAACAACAGGTTCTCAATAATTCTTCAAGATTTGCTCAGGTATACAGAATAGTGCATGTTTTTCTCACTGCTTTGAATTCTTTGCTTAAATCAGTGTAGTTTACTGTGTCAAATTCATTGTTTATGCAGTGTTTGATTGAGAAGGGGTATGAACTTGTATCTGGTGGAACTGATAATCATTTAGTCCTCGTGAATCTGAAAAATGAGGTAAAGGGTGAGTTTTGGTTCATCGTTATAACTATTATACTTCTCATCCACGTATTTTTCCTTGGACAGTGATCGAGATTACAATTTTATTAACGGTTTAACTAATAGTAAGAGTCTATTTAGAATAACTTTTCAAGTGTTAGAAAGACGAGTTTAAAAACCAAATAGATATAATTTCAAAAGTCTGGGGACTAAATTTGTAATTTAACCTATTTTCAACCTTACGATATATAAATGTTAATCTGGCAGGGTATTGATGGCTCGAGAGTGGAAAAGGTTTTGGATTGGGTGCATATTGCAGCTAACAAGAACACAGTTCCAGGGGACGTGTCCGCCATTTCTCCGAGTGGCATTCGTATGGGTATGACTTTGGAGTTCATGATATAAAATAATATGTGATGTAATATAACATATCAGATACTGAATAAGAGTATAGACTATGATAATACTATAAATTTTGTGTATATAGGAACCCCTGCTCTTACTTCCAGAGGCTTCCTCGAAGCAGATTTTGTGAAAGTAGCTGAATTTTATGATGAAGCTACGAAGCTAGCCTTGAAGATTAAGGCTGCTGAACCTAAAGGTTGGGTTCTCGATCATAACAATTATCATTGTTAGATGATGAAAGTTCCACGTCGGCTAATTTAGGAAATATTCATGGATTTATAATCAAAGAATACTCTCTCCATTGGTATGAGGCATTTTGGGGAAGCCCAAAGCAAAGCCACGAGAGCTTATGCATAAAGTGGATAATATCATACCATTGTCTCTCCATTGGTACGAGGCTTTTTTGAGAAATCCAAATCAAAGTCATAAGAGCTTATGTTTAAAGTGTATAATATCATATCATTGTAGAGAGTCGTGTTCATCTAACAATCATATCTCCTTTAAAATATGATGACCTCCCGTCTTGCATCGCCTCGCTTTGCATGGCCCACTGGCTGTTAGAATTTTTTGATATGCTCAATATTTGTTTTAAAATATTGTAAACACAGGTGCTAAGTTAAAGGATTTCGAGGCAACCATGCAATTAAATAAAGAATTCCAATCTGAAATTTCAAAGCTCCGACGTGAGGTTGAGGAGTTTTCCAAGCAATTTCCAACCGTAGGTTTTGAGAAAGAGACAATGAAATATAGACTGAAGAACAGAGTTTTAAGGCACATGCAAAGTTTCGCAGCCGAGTCGGGTTAGGTAGTATGCCAATAAATGGCAGCTGTTCGTTAAAAACCCGTACTTGAAAAGTCATTTTAAATTTGTATGCATAAATAAATGTCTCTTGTGAACCGTCTTTTTCGAATTTCTAATATAAAATCTTGACTTTACACTCTTGATCTTAAAAGGTTAACATAACCAAAATCTCGATGTTATAAGGAGGGTAATGAATTATTTTCTATGATTGTATACTAATAATGAAAATGGATATCTAAAGAGTAGAACTTAATATTAATTAGAGAGTAAATATAACGACCTATGTTCATGATTTGGAATCCAGATTTGACACATGATGGCTCCGACTTTTTCTTATACCTCTGCGACATGGTCACGGTACTCTCCTTGACTCATCCCCGAGCCACATCTTATTGGGAGAGATATCACTATGATACCATTTGTAACGATTCATGTTAGGATTTTGATCATGACTCAGAATCCGAATTCAACCTCACCCCATATCAATATCAAATGATTCAATATTTTATTATCATGGAGGGTATAAAACAAAATAATAATAATAATAATAAATAAATAAAAATTAAAAATTAAGTTTTGAAATGATAAGGATATAAATTTAATTAATTGATTAAATATTTTTAAAATTTTAAATGTACACAATTATTTTAATCTTCTATAAAAACAAAATTTAACCGCATAGGTGAACGGGAATGGGCGTGGAAGTAGCAAAGAGGCCGTTCCCTCCACAATTCATGGTGTGCGGATTAGATTGGATGGGGAAAGGATAAACACCCCGCCATTGTTATGTAATTCCTTCTCCTTCTTCCTTCCATGGCTTCCTTGCCTTCTGTTACCTTCACTGCTCCTCTCAACCTCGATTCCGACGTAAGAAAGCGACATTCTACCAGCCTTCTCCTCAAGGATAAGGTACTCTTTTTGCTTGCTTTCGATGGAGTCATGATTGACTTGAAATGAGAAATGAAAAATTCTTTTGAAAATACTCGAATTGATCTTACGGACTTCTGTTCTTGGATTGTGAGATAGATCAGTTGAGTTGGAGTGTGAAACTGTGGATTCTGAGTGTTGGATTCTTAATTTGTTCGTAACTAAACGTATGGAATGTGAATTTAGCCTGCTTCGTTTTCTTGATCTGTCGATTTTTTGATTCGATGATATACTGCAGAGTGCTAGCGTGCCGAGTCAGAAAAATCAGTCGCTAATCCAACTGAATGTTGATGCGGATCCGAAGTTTGTAGACTTCCGTGAAGCGCTGTCTCTGTTGAAAGAAGGTACGACGGTCAAAACTTCTTACTATGTTTCGCTGTTGCAAGAATGCATAGACAGAAAATTAGCTGCAGAAGCGGAAATTATCCATGGTCATATCGTAAAAACTGGGACTCATGAAGACCTATTTGTAATGACGAATCTTGTTAATGTTTATGCGAAATGTGGAGTCATGGAACATGCTCGCAAAGTGTTTGATAATTTGCCTCGAAGAAATGTCGTTGCCTGGACTACTCTAGTGACTGGTTATGTTCAGAATTCGCAGCCTCTGGTTGCTCTTAAAGTATTCATCGAAATGTTGCAGGCTGGAGCTTATCCTACAAATTTTACACTCGGAATAGTGTTGAATGCTTGTTCTTCCTTGCAATCTATGGAATTGGGGAAGCAAGTTCATGCATATATCATCAAGTATCACTTAGATTTTGATACTAGTATTGGCAACTCTCTGTCTAGCTTCTATTCTAAATTCGGATGCTTGGAACTCGCTATCAGGGCCTTCCAGAAAATTAAGGAAAAGAATGTCATTTCATGGACTTCAGTTGTATCTGCCTGTGGTGATAATGGTCAAGCAGCTCGGAGTTTAAGTTTCTTTACCGAGATGCTCTCAGAAGGCGTGGAACCGAACGAGTATACTTTTGCCAGTGTCTTGAGCACTTGCTGTATGATGCAAACGTTGAGTCTAGGAGCACAGATTCATTCACTAAGCATTAAGCTTGGTTATGGTTCAAGCATACCTATAAACAGTTCTGTCATGTACTTATACCTGAAATGTGGATGGCTTATTGAGGCTCAGAAATTGTTCGAAGATATGGAGACCCCCAATTTGATTACATGGAATTCAATGATTGCAGGGCATGCAAAAATGATGGATGCTACTGAAGATGATCTTGCAGCTCACAAGAGTGGATCCACAGCACTTAATATGTTCCAGAAATTATATCACTCGGGTATCAAACCCGATCTGTTCACCTTCTCCAGTGTTTTGAGTGTTTGTAGTAGACTAGTAGCCTTAGAACAAGGGGAACAAGTTCATGCTCAGATCATTAAGAGTGGTGTTTTGGCAGATGTTGTTGTGGGAACTGCATTGGTTAGTATGTATAACAAATGTGGAAGTATTGATGAGGCGAGTAAAGCTTTCTTGGAGATGCCTTCAAGAACTTTGATATCATGGACTTCGATGATTACGGGACTCGCACAACACGGTTTGTCTCAGCAAGCACTTCGGGTCTTCGAAGATATGAGACTGGCTGGAGTTGAACCAAACAAGATCACTTTTGTGGGTGTTCTATCAGCTTGTAGCCATGGTGGTTCGGTGGATGAAGCACTGTATTACTTTGAAGTAATGCAGAAGCAGTACAAGATTGAGCCTGTAATGGACCATTTTGCATGCATGATTGACATGTATATGAGGTTGGGTCGGGTGGAAGAAGCTTTTGATGTAGTCAAGAAGATGAACTTTGAGGCTAATGAAGTTATATGGTCCATGATAATTGCAGGATGTCGAAGTCACGGGAACTCCGAATTGGGGTTTTACGCTGCCGATCAGTTACTCAAACTCAGGCCGAAAGACACCGAGACCTATGTCTCTCTGCTAAATATGTACATCTCTGCAGGGAGATGGAAGGATGTTTCCAAAGTGAGGAAATTGATGACAGAAGAAAAGCTTGGAAAGTTGAAGGACTGGAGCTGGATTACCATCAAAGAAAAAGTTTATTCATTTAAACCCAAGGACAAATCACACTATCAAACGGCAGAGATGTACGAGCTGTTGGAGACTTTACTAGACGAAGTAAAACCTCTTGGTTACGAGCCTGTTCAATATATGGAGCTAACCGAAGAGGAGAAAGGCGAGGAAACGGCGTTCTCCTCCACCATTTATCACAGCGAAAAGTTAGCTGTTGCTTTTGGTTTGTTAAACCTGCCTACAGCTACCCCAATTCGGGTTGTCAAGAGCATCACCATGTGTAGGGATTGCCATAATTTTATCCGATTCATTTCATTATTGACAGGCAGGGAAATCGTCATCCGAGATAGAAAGCAGCTTCACAAGTTTTCGAACGGATACTGTTCTTGTAGAGGTTTCGGAGATCTTCTCTAATGTCCTTGGTGAAG